AAAGAGGGCACCAGGGCCCGGCAGCCGCCGCCGGAAAACGCGGAGACCGGATTTGAATCGGGATCCGCGGCGCAGGAGCAGGGGGCAAAGCCCGAAGCGGAGCATTTCCCCCTTTGAGGAGCTGGAGCTGCCGCTGAGTCGCCTCGGGAAGGGGGGAAGCACCTTTTTGGGGGTGTTTTATGTGCTGGGGGGTGTCATGTGAGACCCCCTGCCTGGCGTGGCCCCCCCCGGCTGCACTATTGGAGGCACCAGCGCCAGTCACTGGTTCAGCTCACCGAGCTGGCATGGAACTGCTCAGGCTGGTTTTCAGGCAGGGTACCACTCAGAAAGAGCTGCCAGGAGGAGGCAGGAGGGGGGCACCACCCAGGATGCACCCTGGGGTACCCACATCCACCCCAAAACCCCACGACATCATGCCTCATGCAGTCATTTTTCCTCCCTGAACAGGTTTCCGATGCTGGACAGAGGGATCATCTTCATTCCCAAAAGCACTCGGATCCCCAGTCCTCCTCATCCCCAGAAGGTGGCATGTCCCCCAAACCCTCCGCTCCTGACCGCAAAGCCTCGGTGCCAGCCCCGCAATGGCCAGCGAGGAAACTCTGGCTCATCTCAGTGGGGGCTGTCCCAGCCCTGGCCCCAGAACACCTGGGCAAGGCAAACCAGCACGGCAAGCTGTGCTGATTGAAGATGGGGCGCAAGTTGTCAGCACCAACCTCAGAGCTGGGACATGGTCCTGCAGCGAAAGGTGATGGAGCAGGGACCACGACCTCCATCCACCCACCTGGCTCTGGCGTGAGGCATCCCAAGTCATGCCACTATCCCTGGGGATGGTGGGTTTCCTCCTTCAGCATGGTTTCAGGAGGACACAGGAGATGCTGATTTCTTTGGATTCTTTTCAGCCCAAAATGAGGACAATGTGAGACCCAAACTCCTAACGAAGGAGGTGGGACACAGTGAAACAATGGGTTTTGGGTGCCATCACTCTCTTTCTCTGGCTTTTGGGGTTGAAGCAGGTGAGAGGGGAGCCAGAAGTTGTTTAAAGCAGTAGGAAAAGAGGGATGAGAAGAGCATTCATTTACCCCAAAAAGAGATGAAGAGGAGAAATTCTTCTTTATCACAACGAAGAGGAGAAACTGTCCTTGCGCGGCACAAACCCAACAGGGCTGGTGGGCCCCAAGACAACCTATATTAACAAATTCAGGTCGGTTTTTACTGCAATTTTTTAAGGGTTGTGTAAAAGGTATTCTGGGGATTTGGTGTTAATTTTCAGCACATGCCAGACTAGGAATGATACTCCCAAGGGTGGGAAAACCACCTTCTGCCAGGAATGCAGAACAAACCAGGAATAGGTCAGTGCATCTGTCTGCTCATCCCCCAGTAAAACCATAAATGATGTCACTAATACAGGAGGAAAATAAAAACAGTGGGGCAACACAGCTGCACTGGAAATGATCTCAGCATCCCTCCAATGGCACGTTTCGCTGTCACCTTGACCATGAGCAGCGCCCTTGACACAGCCTGCCCAGGCCTGCTGGAGCCTCAGCGCCAGAGCCGCCAGCCCCACGGGACTCAATGGATTTTACCGACAACAGTGGGGAATGTGAAATCCTTGGGGACGAAACTTTCAGGTGACACGCAGTTGTGAGCTGAGAGCAACACAAAGGACAGGGAGGTGACAAAGCAGCTGTCGCGCTCAGAGAGGCGGATGCAGGAGATGGATCTGGTTGAATATGAAGCCAAACCACAGGCTCATATTAAAAGTCTGGCTTAGGTATGGGGTGGGCAACCTGTCCTGGGAAGCACTGCCCTGAGATGGGGATTTTGATGGGATTAGGTGTCATGGGCAGGATATGAGCCCCACGGTCCCCTTGTCCCATGGGGATGGTACAAGATCCCACTTTGTCATGGCCTGGTCCAACGGTGCTGCGCTCCTGGGATAAGGAGCAGGAGCTGGAAACCCCAGGGCTGCAGCCCATGGAGCCCAGCCTAGGTGCAAGCCCTGGGTGCTGAGCAGGTCCTCCCTGGGTGCTCAGTGTTCCGAGCATCCCGCACATCCCAGGCCGTGCTGGTGAGGTGCAGGGCAGGGCAGCAGAGCCATCACTGATGTTTTGTGAAAGACATCTGCCACATAGCCAGATGTTCCTTCTCCGTGCACCTGTCTTCTGCCTGGAAGAGCATCTCCCCCACCCCGGTCTCCCAAGCGCTGCCAAAGGTCGGCCTCTTCCACCTCTAGCAGAGATGCTCCAGGCAGCTCAGGCAAAGCAACCTCAATGTCCTGCCTCTCCCACACAGCCACCAAGGCCAAGTTCTCTCCTGCCTCCTACTCCCCATAGCACCAGGACCCCAAGATGCCACCCCAAGCTCCCCCATCCCTATCCAGCTCCGCTCTTACAGGCACTGCAGACATTTCCCCTCACTCTCCAGGCACATCCACCCAAGAGAGGAGGACCCGCATGACGCAAGAAGAGAAAAATGTGCAGGGAAGTCACCAGGAGTCCCAGCACAGCTGACTGGGACCATACTGGTGGGACTCGAGAGACAGGGACAGGCTGACGGATGGGGAAATGCAGGCAGAGCAGGAAGGAAGCAGAAGCAGCCCATCTCCCGCTGCCATGCTGAAGAGCAGCTCCCATACCATAACCTCCATTCCCAGCCCAGGCAACTCAGAGCTGAAACACCTGCAAGGGTTTTCCAAATGAGGAATGACACAGGTGAGCGTTGAATCCAGATCCACCATCACCAGCATCTTGGAGACCCCACAGGCAGCAAAAGGAGCCAGAATTCAACTCCCAGGGCAAATGACAACGCTGCAGCATCCAGCTGCTGAGTTTCAGGGGGTACAGGCAGTTAGCACGAAGGCTTTGCACCTTCCTCCTCCTCCTCTCTGATGGGGCAGCAACAAGGACTGAGGTAGAGGGCTGGGACAACCTGCAACCGGTGACCATGCCAAGCAGCTGAGCTGGCAGCCCTGCTCTGCTCCCTGCCATGTCCCTGGGGAGGAGGAGGGATGCTGGCAGTCCTTGGGGGTTGCTCTGTTCCCTCTGGAGCAGGGTGGGCTCCGGGAAATGAGGAGAAGCACTTAGACCATGGCAAGGCAGAGCCTGGAGCAACGTGGAACGAAAGGTTCACAGCCCAGTGAACATGAATGCGTGATGAGCACAGACACAGCAATGGGGGAGATGCTGAATATGAAGGATTAAAGAAAAAGGAGAAATTAATCTTATTCATAAGGCAGAGCGGGTTTTTGACTCATGCACACAGCTGCTGGAAGGGGGGGGTCAGCTTTTGCGGGATGACTGCTACTTTGATACAAATCAGGAGAGGGGGATGTAAAGCTGGGCACTTCCCAGTGATGCCAAGAGCTGGAAGGGCATACTCCTATGAGCAGAAAGCCTCCGAGCAGGAGCAGAGCCCAACTCTCACCCTGAGTCCCCTGCTTCCCCAAGCACACGCTTGGCGGGGCTCAGGCTCTCTGGCTGTTGGGAGCCATCCCCATTGTCCCCCCAGTTTCCCACACTTCTGCAAGGCCAGTGCCGTGATGTGTCTGACCCCATCCAGCCAAAAGACCTCAAGGCACGTTTTGGGGAGGGAGATGCTGCCAAAGCCAGGATGGAGCTGGGCTGGCCACTGCTGGCGAGCTCCCCTCGTCCGTCCTGGGACCCAGTGCTCATGGGAGGTGTGGAGATGCCAGTGCTTGGTTGAATCCCATCTTGTCAAGTTCCATCTCCCACCCACCCTTGTCCGCAGCATGCGACTTCTTGGGAAGCACAGGGCTGTTGGGCGAGAGCTTGGTGAAAATACATCTCTTTTAATGCTTTTGGAATACAATGGATAAAGCAATACCTAAAAGCGCTCTGTGATTCGTCTTGTACCTGCTTTCCAGAGTCAAGGACCATCCTGGCACCCTTCGGTGGCAGTTGGGTGCTGCGTGGGAATGCGGCAATGCTCCCCTCTGGCTCACTCCATCTCTTTCTGCTTCATTAACCCCTTCTTTGCTCCCTGATGGATCTTTGCATCCAGTTTCCCTGTAAAGAGGGGATTAAAAAAAAAAAACCACACAACAAACCCTCATCACTCTTTATTTTTGAATGCTATTTGCAATGCAAATCAGCTGGAGGCACCGAGGTCTCCTAGTTAGTGTGTTCCTGTCACATTCAATTATCGTGCTTGAGGAGCCAGGCGTTTCCAGCCGCCGTGGCTTCCCTCCGCAGGCGCGACACCAGGGAGCCGGGGGCAAGCATGTCTGACGCGGCAAAGAGATGCCAGAGAGGGGGAAATTTAGCAAGGAGGAGAGTAAATTAACATCCAGCACTCGGCCACCACTACGAGGGGGGAAACTGATCCCTTCGGTCGCCCACAGGATGCATGTCGACACGTTGGGAGGAGATGAGGGACCATCAAGCACCATGTTGGGGACATGTTTCTCCACGGCGTGGTAGAAAGCCAGGCTTGGGGACAATAAACCCTCAGCTTGGGGAAGATGATGCAATGCGGCATACAATGTGATGGGGACCTACTGCTCTGTGCTGCCAAGTGCCAGGTTGGTGGCTTTGGAGGGCTGTGCTGCCTTTGACAGTGGGTGGCACCTCAGGGAGCCCAGGTGCCCGCAGCCAGCTGCTCCAGCGGGACCCAGAGCAAATGCTGCCTCCTCTTGTCCTTCACATCCCTTGGTGGCTTCACTGCCAGCTCTGCTTTCCCACCTGGGAGAGGAGCAAGACACCAGAACATGGGATATGGGCAACTCCTGCAGAAGCCAAAAGCCAGGCATGGCAAGCAAGCTGGGAGAGTGATGCCTCCTCTGCCCATAAAAAAGCAAGGATGCCCACATTCTCCCAGGCAAAGCTCCATCCTCCAAAAGGGAGAGGAAGAAATGGAAGGTGACTTTAAGCGAGGCAGCACAGCAAAGAGCCAACCTCCCGGAGAGCCTTTGCTGTCAGCCAGTGCTGGTCACCTCCTCTAATGCCACATCTCCCTGGGAACTCACCTCCCTGCTCCTGCTCCCCTGCATCTTCTCATCCTCCAAATACCAGCCTCGTCCTGTCTCTGTCTGTAGCTGGGAGCAGTGACAGGGCTCCAAACCATTGCAGAAGCCAGCAGCAAAAATTGCAGACCCTATTCTGAGCTGAAGAGGGCAGTCCTGGCCCCTGGGGAGCATCCCCTGCATCCCTCAGGAGGGACATAGGGGTCCACTATGGTCACACCATCAGGAGAGGAGGCAAAGGGATCAAAGTTTGATCCCAAGCAGATGGACAGACAGACCCTGTTCCAGCGAAATCCCAGTGAGGTGGACGGAACTGGAGCTGGCGGCATTTCATCCAGGTCCCTCGGCATCATCCCTCTGGGGAATCAAGCCCAGTGTCACCCCATGGGTGAAGGACAGCCATTGCAGTCCCTGGGAGAGCTGCATTGCTCCAACCCAGCTACAGCACACAGCAGATCTCAACCCTGGTGGGGACAAGATCCACCAGGCTTCAAACCGGTCCCGCTTTGGCCGCTGCTCCAAAAACCACCACTAAATGCCCATGTGCTATGCGAAGCAGGCATTTGTCCAGGGAAAATGGCTCCAAAACAGCCAGAGATCATCACCGTCTCTTCAAACCAAGAAAACGTCTCAATTTCAACTCAAAGAAGAGTCCGACAAAACTTTTCCCAGGAGAGGAAGGTTACAAAACTGCCTCACTCGGGATGTCCCACCAGGACAATGCACCCTCCCTGAAACTGGTCCTCTTCCTTCAGCTTCGGTTTTGGGCCAGCCTTGCTCCTGTCTGAGCTAGAGAGGTGTTCAGTGCATCGAAACCGTAACACATGCAAAAAAAGAAATGTGAGCAAGGGTTTGCAAGTCACTGTGCCATAGATCCGCAAACTGAAACACAGCTATGGTCAGGTCAAAATTGGGAGCAGGAATCAGATGCAGCCAATGTCTTGGTGCAGCAGTCACCAACCTGCAGCCCATGAGACACAAGAGGCTGTCTGCAAAACTCTTCCACCATCACAAATGAGAAAATTAAAACTCAGGCCAAGCAAAAGGGCAAAATAGGACATTACTTGGAGCGTCTGTTTTCAGGCAGTGTTCTCGCCCTGAGTTGCAGAGTTTGGAAGATGGACTTCTACAAGGTCTGGGAGATCCACCATCCCCTCTGCTACCCTATGTGGGAGAAGACTTTCCCCATCTGCCTAAGGATGGGAAGAAGGCCACTCCTTGCAATGGCTGGAAACAGCGACAAGCACCCAACAAGGCTGAGCCAGCATGGCCAGACTGTTTGGAAGCAGTGTGTCAGACCACCGTGTCATCAGGCTATTGGGGTTTTGGCAGGAGAAAGGCAGCGAGTTCACACTCACTCCATGCTCTGGTCCCCCATCACGAACGCTGTGTGATCTCCAGGGCTGTAAGCTTCTTATTTAACATGTCTGCCTGCTCCTCTTGGACTGCAAAAGCGACCAAGAGCCTCCTCCACTCTACCAGCTGACAAACATAAACATCACACAGGTAACCTTTAGGAAAAGGCTAAAAATAAGGCAACAGCCCCAGGGTCCCCTTCTCTTTCCGCTCAATGATTTAAGGACTCTCATCTCACACTGCAATATGTCCCTTTGCCCACT